GGTCCTTCTAACAAGCACTATGGGATAGCTAAAAGAGTGCTTAGATATATCAAAGGAACATTGGACTACGGTTTGCATTATATGAAAGGCAAGAAGGCTGTTTTAGTTGGTTTCTGTGATAGTGACTGGGGAGGATCACTAGATGACAGCAAGAGTACCTCAGGCTATGCTTTTTCCTTTGGCAGTGGAGTGTTCTCATGGGCCTCTGTGAAACAAAATTGTGTTGCACTTTCCACTGCAGAGGCTGAGTATATAAGTGCTGCTGAAGCAACAACTCAAGCTATATGGCTCAGGTTTGTTCTTGAAGATTTTGGAGAGTTACAAGCTGAAGCAACTCCTTTGCAGTGTGACAATACATCTGCAATCTCAATAACTAAAAATCCTGTGTTTCACCAAAGGACTAAGCACATTGATAGAAGATATCACTTCATAAAGGATGCCTTGCAGCAGGGAATTGTTGATTTGGTATACTGTCCAACCAAAGAACAAGTTGCAGACATTTTTACCAAGGCCTTACCAAAAGAGAGATTCAACTATCTCAGAGATAAGCTTGGAGTTGTATCAGCTCAAAGCTTAAAGGGGAGTATTAGTGTATAAGCTGTGAGCTAAGTAAAGTTAAAGTAGATAAGCCTTGTTTTAAATTGTGTATTCACTTAGTCTTAGATTATGACAAGTGTAAGGCTGAGATTGTATTGTTGGTTGTGTGCATCCAGCTAAGTCTAACGGTTATGTACTCATGCCTTTAGTGCGTGTTTTTGGATATACTGAATATACACTCACTCTCAGACTTTGAGAGTGAGCAGAGCATTTTTCTGCAGTTTTGAATCTTTCTCTATTCTCTCAGTTTCTTCCTCTAATCTAATCTTCAATATAAACCCAGCTAAACACTCAAACTCTAACAAGATACTTCTATTTGTTAACCAAATTGGTGGAGAATATATACCCTCAAGTGCTTTTCAAAGTCCAGTCGCCATGTTAGCTCTTCAACACGCTTCTCCAGCATGTCCTTAGCTGCCTTAAGAGCTCCCGTTTCTCGTGCAGCCTGCATCAAGGAATTGTATTTATTTATTTATATCTTCCTGATTCCTTAATTTTGATAAATCTGGTTTTCTTGACATAGTTCAATGCTAATAATAGGTGGGCAGTAAGTAGATTCTTCTTATAGAGAAGTGAAGCTCACCATTCTAAGCTTTCTAAGCTCCCTCCTCGCTACCTTTGCTCTCCAGAGACATTGAAGAGTTAGAGTTGCCTTTCGCTGGTGTTTATATTCAGAAACAGCTTCAAATCTTCGCCAATTAGTCTGTCGGAAGAAGAGTGACAGCATTTTAAAATTTATCAGCTTAAACTTATTTAATACGACTGAATGATTCTTCTCGGAAAATAAACTGATCTCTGACATAAGTAGTACTATACTCCACCTTTATAATGTGGCATTTTCATAATTTTTCATAAAAAATTTGTAGGTTTTAGCTCACTCTATAATAAATAAATAATAGAGGTCTGATTATCTTCTGCACAATTCAATATTATTATTCCTCTAATCCTGATACTGGAATATTTTCCTAAGTTATCAATCAAGTTCTTCATAAGTATTCTTGAACTGCATTTCTTTATGTACTCTAACTTTTACATTTTTAAATATCCCACAAATGCCAAAAAAATTCTGTATACATCTATAAAATTGAAGTTTCTGTAGATTGTCCAGTCCAGAGCATTTATGACCTGAATAATGTTTGCAGCCTTGGTTCTTTTCCTGTTTCGATGATCATTTCGGGCTGCCATAGCTCGTAAACCAGTTTGGATGACGATTGATACAGCCTGAAATTTTATGTAGGACTTCCTTGCTGTGTGAGCGCGTAGATGTTTTTGTATACGTATTGAAGCAGCTTCCTTCCTTATCTGCTCATACATCTTACGTGCAAGTTGTCCTGTTTGAGGAAGTGTGAGATAAAAACCATGTCATTCCAACTTTCAAATTGTCACTCCATTATTACCTCTCCAAAGTTTCTGCAAGTGAATAGCAGCCCTTCGCACGGCAATGAACTCCTTTCTGGTTAGATGTGTTCGGATTTGCCTTTGAATACATCTGGCAGAATCAGCCAAAATTTTCGTTCTGCGTGCATCTAATTCAGCCATCTGACCAGCTCTAAGAAACACCTTTGATTTTCCAATCTGCAATACAACATTGGTGGGGAACTTGTGCATAACACGAACAAAGTTTGGGGGACAATGAACACTAATGCGTCTTATTTTCACACCATAGGTTGATGTCTAAACAAACCTGATATCCCTTCAGGCCCATCCTGTCACATATGGCAATACATGCTGATTTTTCATCAGATCTGCACAGGCAAAGCAACCACCAAGGTGGTGAATGCATTAGATGATCATCTCTTGTGGCATTACTATAGGCTCTAGATAAACAGACACTTATATCTAGATATGTGAGTTTTGTTAAACAACTACTGAACCTCAGAGGCTTAAAGCCGTTATGGAATGGGCCAATAATGAATGGCAACCCAACATGCTGCCCCATCCTGCAGTCGGAGAGGCAGACATATGCAGAAATAGTGAAACATATAGGTGCAACCACATTCTGCATCTTGCAAAGTAACAATAAGTTGGGAATGAGAAATAAATGTTTCAAACTAGAACCTCCTGCAACTAGAGCTCTAATGCCGTATTCGGCAACCAATCCCAATGGACCCCAAACACAACAACTAAGTAATGAGACAAAATATATATATCAAGCCAACATGAATATCTTTGTAAAAGTTAAGGCATGAGCTTCATGCAAACACTGTCATCTCAGTCTTGACCTAGAGGTCCTAGTTTCATTTCAACATAATGAAGGTAAAATTGACAAATAGAAAATCAGATTAAATCAATTCCGGTCAATTTATACCCATCCAGAATATCAGGAGCCAACAAGCCAAAGCGGTCAAGGAACTCATCAAATGTTCTTTTTGTTGGATATCCAGCACAACTAATCCTTATAGCCTCTAGCACACCCTGTACAAGTGCCATTGGAAAAACATCATTAAATTAAGCAACCTAAACAGGTCATGGTTGCTGCCTCAGCCCCAACCCCCACCCCTCCCTTCCCCTGGAAATCTCCCTCTAGGGGGTTCTTTCTTTCTGTTTTGTTTAATTTTTAAACAACCTCAAAAATATTTTTGGAAGGGTAAAGATATTCTGTGAAAAAAGTTAGACTTTACTCACACCACATCTCAGCTGGTTTAATACATTGACATTCTCAAAAATTCCGGGCTTCAAAACTGTATTGGGCTTAACACATCTGATATAATGTGGTTCTGTCGTGCTAAGTGTCTCCATTAAAGCTTGTAGTTGTTGCTGCATGTGAATTTTGATTCAGGAGCAAGTTGCATCTTCAGAGTCAAATAGACCTTTATGAAAATGTGGATTACCTTGAAACGGGTACCTATGGAAGAAAACTTGGATTGTTTTGATGTCTCCTCAGGTAGTGGAGGGAATAGATTTGCAACAAATGAGCATGTGGAGGCATTTAAAAGAGCTTGATGTTCTGCCACTACGTAGTCCTTGTTTTTATCAAGAAAATGGTCTGCTTCGTATGTGACCTGTTGACTAGAAGGATAAATGAAGGGAAACTATGTTTTTTTTTTTTTCAGTATAGCTATTTGTTCAAGAATTTTCTTACATCTCCAGCATAGTGGTTAACTGTGAAGTCCGTTCGAGCAAGTTTTGGCTTTTTGAAGCGCTTATGTCCTTTATATGTCTGATACATCTTCTGTGCAAATGTCTCATGGGTTGACTTGGGGAACATACTGTAGATCAAATGAACTTGTTCATATATGCATAGGTTCAGCAATCATGATCTTTTTTCTCCCATTTTCAAAAAAGCATTTTAGCTTTTCTTTAATTTTCACTGGTAGAAAAAACAATATGAGACTACGTATTTTTTTTGGATCAGGGAACAAGTATTATTATTATACACTGTGCTGAATGAAGCTTCAAACTTAACTGCCTAATAATTAATCAGATGAGACTTGAGTACTGAGGTAACCATTTTATTAGTTAGATTATCTGTTGTAAGAGATAAGATATCAATGGTATCATGAGGACCAAGGTTACATACCAGGCTTCATCAAGAAGAGCAATTATGCCCCCAGGTTTCTGCATGTAAGGACGTTTGTTATAACAGATTTATATAAATTTTCCTATTTTTACATGCAAAGAGCTATATGAAAATTAATACCTTCTCGATAAGATCCAAAACATCCTGGTTATCTACAAATTCTACGTAGCTCCAGTTAATTTCATCCTTTGTGTACTCTTCTTGCTCCATCTTGAACACATGCTGCAGTGGAAGATGCTTATTATATAAAATAACCATAGTACAAATATGTTTAAAGTGTACCTAGAAATTCCCTTTACCTGATTAAAATGTTGTTGCAGCTTTTCATTTGTTAGGTTGATACATAGCTGCTCAAAACTACCAAATAAAGCATTAGATTAGGTCCTTATGTCCAAATGCAAAATTGTTTCAGTACATTTAATTCTTCTGTTAAGCTGTATCATTTCTACCATTATGTACCTGTTGATCTTGAAGCTTTCAAACCCATAAATATCAAGGACTCCTATTAAGCTTGACGAATTTGGATCCTGACCAATTGAACTGTTTATCTTATCCACAATCCTGCCACAGATTAGGAACCACCAGCTGTAGTTAATCCTTATAAAGTTAGGTAAGTTTATAAGAATATGATATTACAAACCAATGTTTTGAAAGGGGAGGCGTAGAGGCTAGGCGTTTTTGGTCCTGCAAGGCGAGGCGTTTTCTAATAGAAACTGTAATAGGTTGGCTTTAAAGAAGTTTGCAGACAAGAAGTATTCTGTGATTTCTGATCTGTTGTACTGATATCACATTTTTGGGGCAATAAAAGCCTGGGTCAAAAGTTGACTAAGTTAAGACTCTTAACTTCCATAGTGGAAATACTAACAACTAATGCTGAATACAAGTACAATGGATAAGTCTATTTTACTTACCAATCGAACAGTCTGGAGTAAACTGTCTTTGCCAGGGCATCACGACTTAATGTAGCTGAGTCCGGATCCAGCGGTTTTGTAATGTTACCATCAGGAGTCACTATGACACGCTTGCAAAGCGAGTCTTCTAAAGCCTTCTTATCACACCTGAAGAAAAACACGTTGGAAGACACTAGGAATTAGAAACGAGTAGATAATCTTCATTTAGGTATTTCAAAATCGATCAAAGTTCTAACATGAGTAGCTCTGCTGCTGTTTGGAGATGATAGAATGATTTATCATCTTTTAATTTGGAAGAATCAACTTCATCCCCTTTGATGAAGTCAATGTTCCCAAGATGGAGGATTGCAGAAACCACTCGGAATATTGCATCCTAAAGAAAGAAATTTTCCATTAATAATATATATGGTTAGAGGAAATCATCACTACATGTATTGATGCGAGGGTCGCTACCTGCTCTTCCTGGCTGATCCCAACAACATCCATAGCATTTCTGGTTTCCAAATACTCTCTTGCATCATCTACATTTGCTACTTCATAACAGGAGGATTGATTAAGATAGTGAAATGTTCTTGGGTCCCCTAACTTGTACCTGTTGATATCCTGTTAAAGAACATTTGTCAGCCATAACGACAAACATACCTAGATAGAGAGGGAGCTTCTTAAGAGAGATCCCTCTTTTTGAAAAAAAATTATGGGATGTATCACATAAACGCATGTGTGGTCTTCCCTTGATGCCATAGTTTTTAAACGGTGATCAAACAAATAGCAAGAACAATATTTTTATAAACACTTAATCACCACAATAATCCAATGGCTAATTGATTCCCTAGTTATTGAACAACCGTAGTCCATGAGATTCAACTCAGGACCTCCTCCAACAGAATGTTGACTGGATGCCACTAGACCAAATTATCGGCATGTTACCAGACTATTACTCTTAACCATTGATACCGTAATTATTATTTAAAAATGTATAATCTAGATTAACAACAAAAGAATATAATGTCACACACAAACCTCCGCTGGTGCCGCACAAAGCATGTAAAAACAATGGTAATTTCTCTCTGGGTCCGAGACTTGGCAAACACGTGATCTTTCGAGAAGATATGTACGAATTGCAGCTCCAGAGATTTTCCAATTGTTATCAAATTGGATCTCTACAAATTTACCAAAACGACTGGTACAAGCATCATGTTTTATAAGTTTGAAGAGAGTGGGGAAAGCAATATATAGAAAAAAATTTAAAAAGGAAATGAGAGAAATCTATGTAGTAGAGGAAAGAGCTAACAAGTATCGCACCTCGAATTGTTGTTTTTCACAGTTTTGGCATTCCCAAATGCCTCCAAGACTGGGTTGGACTGAAGACGGGGAAATATTTACACTTCATCCCAAATAAATCAATGTACTCACAGTATATAATAAGGAACCAAATTGTTAGAAAGAAAAGGAAGGTTGGGTTATGAAGCATTTTCCTATAATATACAAATAGAGGAAAAAACGAAACTGACCTCTAAAACCTGTTGTTCTACTGTTCTTCCTTCTGTACCTGATCTGCCCCCCATGAACGCGAGATATCTCATGAGCATTTTTGTTGTCTCTGTTTTACCAGCACCACTCTCCCCACTAACCAGAATTGACTGGCTTCCTTGTTCGTTTATCATTGCCCTGGTGAATGGTACTAGTCATTTAACTTTATTTTCTTACCAATAGCTAGGGAATAACTAAGCATGGTGTCTGAGATAACATCATGGGATCTAATTAGCCAGTTTGCACGGCTTATATACCTGTAACAAGTGTCTGCAACAGCGAAAAGGTGTGGACTTAGCTCCCCAAAAGCAGTTCCTTTGTACTGCTCCATCATGTGGATTTCATACAAGTGTGGCAGTCTCTGGAACGGATTCACCGCTATTAGAATGTTCCCAGTGTAAGTCTGCTCACATTATATCACCGACTGTCAGACAACTATTTTTTTGACATCTATGTTATCTGCTTTCAAGGGCAATGCTAAATAAATTCAATGCATATGTCGTATTCATGCAGTGACTTGACTCACATATATCTCATTAAGAGCAAACCGACAGGCTAGGTTATGCAGGACTCCCGGCTCATGGAGGTAAGCCAACTTAGTCATGTCGTCAACCCCTGCTGGTGGTGCTTCTGTGTCTTTTGGGTACATACTGGAAATGTCTGCAACTATCTGAAATTGAAGTAAATGCTAGCATTAGCCTGTATACGTACCTATTATGCAAGTGTTGAATATAAATCACAATTAGGTTTGTGTGACATGAGGACGTGACATGAGGTTCGTTTTTATTCAAAGGAGAGATTATGATAGAATTAGAGAATCCAACCAAAACCTAATTGGTACATAGTAGAACATAGTATAAAGGTGGACGGTATATTGTAATGCAAGACTTCAAACTTACGACATGGGATTTTTCATTTTCTAAACAATTGCAATCATTAGCTGCACACTCACAAAATCCACTGATATAGCACCGCATGGATTAAATAAGCTTTCTTTTGCCAAACCCTACAATCTTTAAGTGGCAGGGAACACTGGCAAATTGGGATTTTGAACCTCAGACCACATAGGAGCAAACCATGGGCCTAACCATTCTAACTAACCCCTCGTTGGTATAAGCTTTAAAAATTTTAAAACAATAATTAAAAAAAAGGTTTTTAACCGAAATAGTCCTCCAACTTATACTCCTCCAACTCTTTCACATGTGTCAAATTGGTCCCGCCATTACATTCCCTCAAATTGAGGGGTAAAACTGTCAATTTGGGCACTAATTATCTCTTAAACTTACAGAAACTGTTACAGTAGGACCAATTTGACACAAAGGAGAGAGTTTGAGGACCACTGGAGTGAAAAACTTAGTTGGAGGACCAAAATGGAACTCGAGCATAAGTTCATGGACCATTTCCGTCAAAAGCCCTAAAAAAATAAAAAGTAAGATTAAAAAAATATATATATGAAAACCATGAATAAATATAAAAAATATAAAAAAAATTCAAATAAAACTTATTTTTAGAAAGGGTTTAAATCGTGGTTTGTTATTTTGATGATGCTCCACGGCTTGGTTCTATTATCTGGGATGACTTGTTAGGTGTTGCTAGAACTCGCTTGGTGGGTTCTATGTTTAGTTAGCTGTGCTGTTTTTGGGGGTTTTTGCCCCCTTTCATCATAATAAAAAGGGTTTTATCACGAATGGTCTTTGAATTTTCCAAAAATTTCATTTGAGTCCTTAAACTTTCAAAACAATCAATGTGGTCTCTACACACCAGTTTGGTCATCCTCATCGCATTGCATCAAAATCTTCATTAAAATTGGTTGCCTCACAACCTTTAAAGGGGTATTCTCATCAAAATACAACCTATCCACTCATGAGAAAAGGTAAACCTCACGTCTTTTCCTCAATGATGAAAGAGAATAATCATAAGTGTTCCAAAGTAGTTCGATATTCAAAATATCTATTTGTTTGTTTGGAAAGGAAGAGTTCAGTTTTCTCATGGAGTCTTTGGTGATGACAATCTAGACTCTTGAGGACAGTCTTTTCCAACCAAGGCAGTTTGATGCAAGAGCATCTACAAGGCTCACTAAAAGTACTTAGACCCGTTAGTCAATTGGGTTAGGGTTCTAGTTTCTTTAAATTATTAGTTACTTCTTTTGTTCTCCTATTCCTAGGATTTTGCTTAATTTCCTGTTTAGGTTTTTGTTTCCTATGTCAATTAGGTTTTCTGTATTGTAGTATAAAGAAAATATTTTTTCTCACCACTTTAACCCAAGGTGTACCCTCACCATCATTCTCAACACTTGACATGTGTCCATATGCATAACCATAGTTAACTTTTACTTTGTATTTATGGAACCATAGTTATGTCTATAGACACGTGTCAAGTGTTGATAATGGTGGTGAGGGTACACCTTAGATTAAAGTAGTGAGCAAAAATGATTCTGACGGGCTATTTAGAGACTCTTGTATTCAGTTTTTGTCATGAATATAATTTCAGACTTTAGTCTATAGAGTTACTATTGGGATTTTGCCCTAGAACTCAATTATCTTCGTTCCAACTTCAATTATATTGTTTTATCCTTCTATTCTCTGTATTTTTGGGTATATTTGGGTCACTCGACAGCAGCTTATAGCCGCTGCCCTACAAGCTATTTGCTTTCCTTGATGAGCTCCAAATGTGAAACCCAAATTAGAGAGCATATGACATTGTTGAGCAAAAACGTGGAACTAGGACTAAAATGAGCTATATGTTGATTATAAAGCTGATCAAGTGATGACACGTGACCAATTTTAACAAAAGCTTTTTCTAAATGTGACATAAATGACCAAATTGATGTCTAGACCAAAAGATGAAGGATCACATTGATTGATTTGAGAGTTTGAGGACTAAAATGAGGACTTAAAAAAAGTCATGGACAACTTGTGATAAAAATCCTTAAAAAACAAAAACAGAAAACCTCAAGCCACCCATCCACCAAACCCGACCAACCCCAAGGGACCACACCTAGCCCAAGGCCACCACAATCCGCAAAGTCCCACCAATGACAATGGCCGGTGTCTATGGTGGAGAAGGGAGGACAGGTTGGGTTTCTGAGGTTATGGATAATTGGGTAGCAATTTTCTTTTCTTTTTTCAAAGGGTAAAAAGTGGATTTCATGTAGGAGTGGCAATGGGTCGTGTCATGTCGAGGTATTCAACGGTTAGAAATCTCCAACCCGAACACGATTCGTTTATTAAACAAGTAACATGACACGACCTGTGTAACCTTTTTACTAAATTGGTTGGGTTGAATTGTTATTTAGGTTAACCTATTAACTTGTTTAACTCATATGAGATTTGACGCTTAACCTATTTAGCATGTTTAAACTCATTTAATCTATTAAGTATTCATATTTATCAATGTTGTGTTTTGGCTCGTCATAATACCAAAATGGTTGGGTTAGGATTCTAGGGAACTCCAATTTGGGTAAGGAATAGTGTGCGCAGGATTTCCTACTAGAATTAGGAAACAGTTTCTCTTATCCATATTGGTTCAGGATTAGGAAATAATTTATCTTTCCTTATTCCAACAGGTTTTAGGAATCTTATTTTAACAAGTCAAGTAACCCACGACCTATGTATTAGAAATAGGCTTGCTGGGAGTTCTTTTCTGTAACACAACAACAGAGAAGATGCACAAGAGTAGAGACCCAAAGAGTGATAGAGATATATGTAGTAAAGTTTTGCGGATTAGCATAGGGATTTCAATAAGTTTTTCTAATCAATTGTTTTTCCCCATAGTGCTAGTGATTCTCTCACGAGAAATCACATGAGGACGTAGGCAAAGTTAGCCGAACCTCGCTAAATTCTGTGTGTTGGTGTATTTACTTTATCGTTCAATTATTATTCCGCATATTCACATATCTTCATCCTAATTGTTTGCATAACACCGATAAACCAAATCAGAAATAATTTAATTTAACAATCAATAGTGATACTCATATATACCTTGAAACTTATGATAATATTGAAAAAATTTAAACAAAAAGACAAATTTAATATTAAAAAGATAATTTAACCCTAGAAAATTTTAAACTAACAAAATGAAGCGACAGGTTGAATTCAGTAATCATCTAATTTTTAGATTCTCATATCATCTTTGTAAAATTTCATTCAAATCAAAACTCATGTAGTCACTTAATTATTATCATCACCATTCCCTTGTTTATTGAAAACATTGTGTTCGTCTACTTATTTAGTTAGAGTTAAATAACTAAATATTCTTTAATTTGATAGTAGAGGAAGGTTTTTATTTTTTGCATTATCTTTACGGTATTATATAATTTTGTCTTCATTTTTCTGTATATTTTTGTGTATAGGAGCTAATTTTCTTGTGGAAGAATAGGGATGGAAGGCGAGGCCAAGTCGAAGTCTTCGTCAGTAACATTGCCCATTAATTCAATTATGAAATTGTTGCATAAAATTCCAAGTTGAAAAGCATCCATGAAATTCCATATTGAGTAGTAGAGATTGTTTGTAAGTGGTGTGAAATGGCAGAGAGACAGACAGGACCGAAGAGAGACTGAGGCTTTGAGGAAAGGGCAACTCTAACGTAAGTTTAGAAAAATTAAAAATTAAACTTTACACAAGCTATATGCGGGTAAATGCGTGAACTCTAAATGCAGAACCTCGGGATCCTAACCATCACAGTAACTAAAATATAAACACAAATTAAAACTTAAAATTCTAAATTAACTAGCTATAGAGAAAATTTTATTACACATTTATGTTTTTTTATTTATAAAATTATTCGAAGTACTGGGATGGGTTCCCACCCAAGCCCATTAAGAGTAGGCTTAATTACACCAATGCCCCTTGAAATTTTGGTCCTCCCCTACCCCCCCATCCACCATTAATCCTGACCCACAGCCACCCCCCAGCAACAAAACTTCTGGGACTTGATTGGTCTTCATTAATGATGTGTTTACTAATCAATAATTGAATTCCACCTATGAAGGATTCATATGTTTACTTCACATCAAGGAATTAAAAAGCAAGTGGGGACCGCACAAAATTAGAAATTGAATTCCTGATTTTAGAGGAATCCAATTATTGGGTGAGAGGTGATATTCTAATTCCTGGAGAACAAACCTATTAGGAATTCATCTTTTTTACCCATTATATCCTCATGCAATTTTTTAATTTTTAAATTTGCCATCTACTTTAACCTAACAATGGGGACATTTTAGTAATTAGTACCACTCCTACCCAAATTCCATATGGTTTAGTAAACAACTTCAATAGGAATCCGAAATCTAATTCTCCTCAATCCATATGATTTAGTAAACAACTTTAATAGGAAATCCGGAATCTAATTCTCCTTAATCCATATGATTTAGTAAACAACTTTAATAGGAAATCCGGAATCTAATTCTCCTCAGTCCAACTCCTCCTCAATTCAATTCCTCCTAATCCAATTACGGATTAGTAAACATGCCATAAATCTACAAGTAGCTCCTCCAATTTCTCCACCATCACAAGTTCAATATACAACCCCACAACCATCTCAGTCATCTTCTCATTGATCTTCCACCACAGCATCCAACACTATCTTCATTAACTCTTTAACTTGATCATCTCTTTGTTGCTTTTGTTTTTTGTTTTTAATTAAATTTTTTAGTTTGTTAATTTGGTTGGTTGCCTGCCCTGGCCCCCCCTTTTCCATGGCAAAGGGCAAATAAGTGGAGTTGTTCTAACCTCCCAACCTCTCAAATTCTAACAGTCATTGGAGGAGCTTCATGATAATTTCCAGAAGCCACACCACCTTCTCTCTCCTCTCTCTCCTCTATCTCTTCCCCTTCTCTCATCCTTCTCAACAACCACCCACACCACCTCTCCCACCTCCTCACAGCCATCACAAACCCAGAAAAAGAAGAAAAAAAAACTAGTCCAAGAGAGAGAGAGGGGGGTGGGCTCTGGGTTGTGTTGGAGTGGGATGGGGAGGGTAGGTGGGTGTGGTTTTGGATTTGAACAAACCCAGTAAAAGAGAGAAAGAGAGCGGAGGTGAATTATTTCTTTTGTTAGTGAAACTAAATACAAGTTTTCATTTACAAGAGGTCGTGAAAAGTAGAGGAGAACGGTACTTTGCCGACTTGTTTTTAGTGTGCAAATGAGAGGGAAGAAAATTGATCGCATTGAGAAGTCATGAAGCTACAATTAGAATGGAACTGTTGAAGCAATATAGGGCCGAGCCATATGCAACCACTTTCAGGGGTTCGGTAAAGAGACAGAAAGAGGAGGATTAAAAAATTAATTGTAATTTAATATTAAAAAAATATTTTTCAATTAATAAAACTGACGGAATTGAACATTTGACTTAATTTGTTAACACATGCAAATAGTGACCAAAATCAGAAATTTTAAATTTCGGTGACCAAAATTAAATTCCACCCTGAACCCACCCGTGACCAAAAATATAATTACTCCTTAAAAATTTGGCATCCGATGATGGAGAGTACTCTCATCAATTGTAGTCAAGAATTTCTTTAACCATAACATTGTTTAATTGCTGAGAAAAAATAATATTGCTTTCAACAATTTGGGCTGATTGATTTTTTCTACTTCCTAATCTTCTCGGGAACCAACTACAACCTAACAAATTTTTCGAGCAAACAAACACCACATAACTGAGCAAGCATGCCGGCACCGATGGTTTCTCAAAGAATTGGACTAAAAAAATCAATCTTACTGACCGCAGAGACAAGAGGAGAAGAATGATAGGAAATAGGGAATAGAGAAGACGTACGAGATGGGGCATAGTCGAACCACAGGTGCGCTTTGCGTTTGCCACCGTCGTTGATGAAGTCGAGGAATCGCGCCGCAGAGAACTCGTAGGTCTCGTTAATTATCATCGTCGTACTTCGTCGTCGTGGTTGTGTTGGATTCGTCATCAGACACTACCGTCGGGGTTTGATGTGGGTGCGCGGGGACAAAGCTGGCGGCCTCCTCGTTTTCTTATTATTTTGTATTAAAATCGAGTTTTAGGTTACTACATAAAACTCCTCGTTTTCTTTTCTTTTCAAATTTTAAAAAGTTCTGCCTAATTGTTCTTTTACAATTATGCCCTGTTTTAGTTAAAATGTGCTGATTTAATATTTCACTTTACTATGGGTATTTTCAGAGTTTTTGAATGTTTTATTATTCTCTGCATTTTGCTTTACATATATAGATTTTGTATTTATTAAAATCATTTTCTAAGTCATTTTTCAATGAACTCATACTACAAACTATTAGGAAAAAAATAAAATTAATACAAGCGATAGTAACTAAAGGGATGTTCAATCAAAAGAAAAAAATTACAAGGGTAGGGGATTTCTCTCATACTCATACATTGACTCCTTAAAGTTGAAGAATAGCTCCTCTTCCTTAGTTTTGAGGAGCCAAACTTTTTCCTATATGTATAGCCCCTTTCTATTGAGGGATCCCTCATATAATTTTATTTGAGGATTTAGGGTTCAAGGTTTCCTATGAAAAAAAAAAATTCAACAATCCAAATTGTCTATTTTTCAAGTCTCTAATGATATACCATCCTTGCAAAAAAAAAAAATCAAGCAAATTGAAAATTATTAAGACATCTATTTGGGACCAACAAAATCCATGAATATGATTCTTCAAGAAAAAACTAATAAAAACCATCTAATTGAGTGCTTAAATTGTTTTGGATTCATGTTTTTTTTTTTTTTTGGGAAAGATATATGATTTTTTTATAAAATATCTAAAAACTAAACAGTTCGAATCATTGAAATGCAATGTTTACTATTTACCCCCCTTGCTTTCCGCCCTATTTACAATGGAATCCGAAACAACAGCCACGATGGGCTGTAGCCCAGTAGGTTTTGAAGACAAAACTAAACCTATGTCTCTATGGTCCAGTGTGCTCGCTTGGTTTGATTATTGTTTGCTTCCTTCCACAAGTTGATCATCAAAACCTATACTATAAACGTGTAATATACATGTTCGATTGTTTGCTTCCTTCCACAGGACTTTTTTTTTTCTTCTCTGTTTTTCTACTAGACCTCCACAAGAGGGAAATATTATTTGTTTTCGGTCTATTTTTATTCTTTGTTGCTTTTTTGCGGTGTTTAATAAAATATTATTTTATCTGCTTTCTTTTGGTGGGAAGAGGGTTTTAAAAGGGTACAATATCTTAATCTAATTATTTATATTTTTGCACTTTAAAGCTTATTCAATTGATGCAAACAAAAAAAAAAAAAACAGATATAACATCAGATTTAATTATTATTATGATAATGGTTAAATTTTTTATTCACATATATTTAGTCTTTATAAAGTAAATTGCTTTTGTTGTTGGTATGTGTTATTATATTATAATTTTACATCATAACCATGCAAGTAAAAGAGTAAAACCTATTCATATATTCATTTTGATAATTTGTATTTTTTGTTGTTGTATTTAGTATGTATTTTTTTCTTTATGATAAAATTTATTAGAAATTAGTCAATATAACTATGATTTATATGAATTAATTATACTTTTATTTATTAAAAACTATAGAAACTGTAAGTTTTTTTTAATAAAAAAGAATAATTAGATTTTAAACTAAAAATTTTTGCTAGCCCACCCATAAAAAAAATTCATAGTTCCACCCTTGATAATAACTTGCGGACATAATTTTTAAGTACAAATGATGATGAGTTAGCTTACAGTCTTCCCAGTTGTGGTAATAATGGTGGCATCTCTGCCATGGATTTCTTTAACTTCGCCATCAACCCACGCAACTTCTGAATCCTCTGCCCAAACATGTGATCCAACTATGATGTTTACCGGCGTTCCCTGGATCATCCAACAATGACAAGAAAGATAATATTTTCTAAGAAAATGAAATGATAGGCCAGAAATATGGATTGAGGAAGAAACTAGCTAGTACTATCGTGAGAAAAGAAGCTTATACCATATCTGTCAGGATCTATGCGATCCAAATTTCAATATGAGGATGAGCAGAAATAGATGAACATCGTTCGCACAGAGAGAGAGAGAGAGATTAGTGGTGTTCTTAAAGAATGTTAGGATGGTGGACTGCAATCCTTGTAGTTACAAAGAATGTTGAAAAAAAATTCAATAACAATGGAAATGCCAGCGGTTTTAACTCATAAAGCAAAAGGTCGGTAGCCACCCTTTTCGCTCCCTTTCCCTCACTTCATGTGAGAAAAAAACTCTAGCTTGATTATTTATTTTAGATGGCTATGTTGTTTGTTGTCATAAATTAACAGCTTTAATAGAGTGAACATATCGGACCACGTTGAGCATTACCTTAGTCAATTAGTCCAATCAATTGAATATTCATTAATATTCTGAGATTAGATATCTACAGTTAGAAATATTTTCTTTTTTAGATAAAGAAGATAGAATTCAGATAAAAATGTCGTCAAGTTACAACTTACAAGAGTCAATACGAATACAAATAACCACACAAATAAAAAAACTAAAGAACCTTGCTATAAAAGAAAGAGGTCAAGGTTAAACTTTTGAAATTCAAACCGGGGCCTAGGCTACAGTTATCATTAGAATGGCAATCAAACAAGCAGGGCCAAGGCGTGTCGCTTTAAAAATCTATGCCCACCCACCAGTCACTCCTGTCTGGTTTTGAAATTTTAGTTGCTCCTTTATTTTCTTGTTCAAGTACATTATTCGAAGGGGCTGTGGAGTGGACAGAGAGGATTTCTCTGGGACGGTTGATGCCGGTGGTGGATGGTCATTCGCATCGCATGGGAAAAGGTCTTTGGCTTCGGGGCCCTAAAAATAAAGTAGAGATTGCTCTGCATGCTTTCCAACCAGACTTTCCTCATTATTCATTTCTTTTACTGTCATTCTTTAACAATTTGCTAATTTGAGTACTTTAATCATCATTAGTCGTGCTTACCAAGGCTGTTTCCAATTTATATTAGAAGGGTCCCATACACCCATGAGGTGGTGGCAAATTGTCTCTCTCAAATGAAACGTCGGAGTACAAAATTGGAAATTACGTAATGAAGTTTTACTTTAATAATATTTTAAGTATTTATTTAATGTTAACTAAATTTTGTTATTATTTTAGGGAGATGATTTTCCTACTTCCATTTTCTCCACTTACACTCTATTTTGCTTTTTAATACTTTTTAATCAATTTTATTCTTTTTTGTTCTTACTCTTTCCTATTCTATAATTGCCGTACATTAATATTTTGATAACTTAAATTAAGAAAAGTTAACCCAAAAAAAAAAAAAAGTTAAGAGTGTCTTCTACTCCTTCATCGTGTCTTTCCCGCTCCTCCAGCCACCATCTTCGACAAATTTGAGTTGTTTCTAGGGAATACCCAAATTATGGCGTATGAATCTACATGAAATTATTTTCTGTCTTTTATAAATCATGTTTTCCCCATTTATGTAAGAACCCACGAGAAAATACACAATAATTTAAAATTGAAGGCTTCTTATTCAATTTTCGATGTGTTTGTTTTAAAAAATTAAAGATTAAATAGGGCTTCTAACATGAACTTATACGGTAACCATTAATCATGCCTCCTAATTGGACAAAAGCAAAGTCTTTGCAAACTATTCTTTGCAGCAAAACATGCAATCCACAAAAACACTTTTGACATAATGAAGGAAACCTTCAAGAATTAATCCCCAAACTCAAGCCAGACAATCAATCTGGAAATGTCGTCCACATATAAATTAATATTTTTCTGAAAATATTTAGGAAAAAAAAAAAGGGAGCTCTTATGATACGTGTTCAATGTTCATTGAAGGAGCAGAAGACGCTCTCACTTCTTTCCTTTTCTTTTATTTTAGTTTTTGTTTTATTTTATGTCAACTTTTCTTAATTTTAGTTATCAAAACATTAATATAGGGTAAAAGTAGAATAGGAAATTGAAAGAACAAAATTGATTAAAAAGCAAAAAGGAGTGTAAGTGGAGAAAAAGGGAGTGAGAAAATCAGCTCATAGAGACAGAACATTTATCCCAATCAAAAAAGACTTAAAGCTTTTATAATTCCCTAAATTAGAGAATGTGGTTGGAGTTGAAATTTTGTAGAGAGTTCCTATAAAAAAAAAAAAAAAAGGGAGCTTTAGTAATATACCCAAAATAGGGGCTGAAATTATAAATAAAAAACTCCACATGGAATGCACTTTAGAAACATACCCAAAAACTATTTAATGCATAAGAAATGAGTGTTGAAGTTCCTATAAATTTCATCTCTATCATTGATTAACTTAAAATAAGCCTAACACAAAAAAAACTCAAAAAATACCCAAAACAAGCCCAGCCCAAAATTTTTTTTTAAAAACTCAAACTTTAAAAAAAATAAAAATAAAAACGAAAATCAAGGAGTTGTCCTTACAACCCTTCTCCACTGAACCTTCGTACACTGTTAACACCATATCATAGAAGTACATTGTTAATCCCATTTCATAGAAGTACATTGTTAATACCATGTCATAGAAGTACACTATTAATACCACGTCATAGAAATAAATTGTTAATATCATTTCATGGAAGTACATTGTTAATACTATTTCATACAAAAAATTAAAATAAAATAAACTAAAAAAGCCCAGCAAGACATCAGATATCTTTTGCAAGAAACCACCTCCAATTATCCATAGTTTCACCATATACAATCGCAAAGGCAAAAGGAAATACCTCTACGTACACTGTTAATACTATATCACAGAAGATGTCGTGAGTACTAAATTCTCCACAAGCTCTGATTACAACCCAATAAAACAACATCCAAACTTACACAACTACAGAGAGAGATATTATGAGAAGGATAATTGACAAATGGTACAAAGAGAGATCTTATGATAGGGAAAATGCACTGCGATTGTTGTAGGAAAAAAAGAAAAGAAAAGAGAAAGAATCAACAACCTGCATGAATAAGAAAGGCCTTCATTGATCAATTATCAAATTTACAATCACATAATTATATAAACCAAAGGAGAGCCTTTAAGAAGCTCAACAGATTTATAGCTCATCAATAACCAATCCTTTTAACCAAACAGTATAAATGCCACACAGATCCACTCGCCCAATGATAAAGAACTCAATCTCTGCTCAACCCCAAAAAATTACAAAAATAAAATACGATTAATGATGCTTAATTAATAATTAATCGGCTGCAATTGAGTAATAACCGGTGAGAGAGATATATATATATATCCGATGCTTAAGATATTGACAGAACATGGAGTGTGATTTTCTGCTCCTATCAATTTGATCTAATCTTCAACTAGCCAGTGATTATATTATACAATTCAAAAAGCTGGGAATCTAAGCTGCATAATATGCACTAGGTTCCTGTCTATACAAAACCTTGTAAATCCATAAGGAGCCCAAAGATTTGAACTTGGACACGAAGGTCCAGGGTCTTAAACATACTAAAGGGTAAATCAAGTGAGTAATAATCCAGTTTTAAGTTTTTTTATATGAATTTCACACTAAGGGTAAATCAGGAAATCTGTATATTAAGTAAACTAAAAAAAAAACAAAAGAATAGCTGGCAATAGTAGGGTGTGTTTATAAAGTCTGTTTGATGTAAGGTATGGTGTGTTTATGAAGTCAATTCATGTAGGGTATTTCTATGATTCTATAGCTAGAAATGAGTTTCTTTATAGCTAGAAATGGGTTTCTTTAGCAGTATTTTAATTAAAAAATAGGATGGTTTTAGTGGTTGAATTTCAGTAAAAACTAACCAAATTGCTCTTAGAGTATCTACTATGAGCTCCTTAAACAAAGGGAAGACTGGAAAATAAAAAATAAAATAAAAAATAAAAAAGAAAAAATAAACATAACTCCACTCCTAAAATAGAATCCAAATCTTGTCCCCTATACATAGATAGATTATATTTTGGGAAAATTGAATGTATTTTTGGTATTTGTCTACAATTTGTACATGTACGGTTGTTGGGTTTTGGCTTTTGTTGAAACAAAATAAAATAAAATTATGTATCTAGATGGTTTTGTTGGAGGCGGACATAGAATTACTCTGGTTTTGTTTATATTCTATTATTTTTATGTTTTATAATTGATTTATTCACAAATTGGTTTCATTTGTTCATCTTTTCATTTGTATATTTTTTAGGGGTGGGTACAGTTTGGTTTGGTTAGGTTCTCACTCAAATCGGAATTGGTACTATTTATCCGGTCCGGTCCAGTTTTGAAGAAAAAGTTATCCGACTTGTTTTGCTTATTAGTCAGTTCAATTTTTGATTTTGTATCGGATTTTTTTTTTTTTTTTATTTTGGAAAATTAGAATAAATTTTTGTGCAAAATCCAACTAAAATTTTATTTTTTGGGGCTTAAAAATTCACAAATGGCCCAATTTCATGCAAATGGAGGTAATTGGTCCTAGAAAAAAGAGGTGATTTGGAGTTGGGCTTGGGGAACGGTTAGCTATGGGTTTAGAAATTTAGCATTTGGGTTAAATATTTTTGGTCGAGTTATTGTTTCACCCCCTAGAACTCGAGCTCGCTCTCACTTAACCACTCATAACTCAAATTTCCTCACTTTACCCCTTGAATCTCTAAAAATTGCTAAAATTTTCTCACTTTAACACTTCTGTCCATTTCCATCCACAAAACCGTTAAGTGTGTTGAGGTGGCATGGGCATTCTAGTAATTTTAGTCTCTCTCTCTCTCTCTCTCTCTCTCTCTCTCTCTCTCTGCCTCTCTTTTCTCTCCCATCCCATCCTCAGACCTTACTCCCAACGCTCATCCGTCGTACCCCACCCCACATCTCCCTAGAAAAACTCAAAATGCATACATTAACACTTCTCTCTCTCTCTCTCTCTCTCTCTCTCTCTCTCTCCCTTCTCTCCCTTCCCCAACCCCCATCGCACCCCACACCTTCCCATCTTCTTCATCCTTTGTGCCTCTTTCTCTCACTCTCACTCTCACTCTCTTTGTCGAGAGAGAAGATAGGGGATGGCTATTGAAGATATTTTTTAAAAAAAAATTGAGTTATGGTGGTTTGGGTGTGTTGAGTAATTCTATGGAGGGTTAGTTCTGGGGTGGGGGTTGGG